TTTCATTATTCCCTTAAATGCCACATGTAGGACAGCAGCATACACAGCATGTGTGAGGTGGTGGGTGGTCTTATTTCCAATTAAGTAATATTTAAACCACAATAAGGTGGCTAGTCAAACACAAAGTCCCACCTTTAATTCTGCTTCTAGAACCTCAGAGGTCTAAGCTTTTCAAGGTGATGTGAACCAGAGCCCCCTGCCCGTGGCAGATCTGGAGCAGCCCTGCTGATTTAGAGCTGCTGCTGGGCATCTGGTGCAATGCTTTGGGGATATATCACATTTATTAACTGCTTAGCTATGAGCTACCAGCTCACAGTAGGCACTTTACATGTAAGAAAGTGATGAGAAACATTAAGGCAGGATTGAACTGGGGATGCAGTTCCCAGCTGGTTTATCATATTAGCAAATATCCTCGTTGTTTCCTAAGAGGGCTTGGGAAACCATCCAGGGGAAATGCATTGCCCAGGGCCTGACTTCACAGGGAAAGGCAAAGTGACAGGGAAATATCAGGCTCAAAAAACCCCAAGGTGTTGCCACCCTGCCTGTGGGGCTCTGCTACAGCACTGCAGCTTCTGGAAGCTGGGGCATCACCAGGGAATGGGCCAGGCTGCAGGAAGAGGGCTCTGTGCCAGGAGCAGGTCTGCAGGCATGTGGCAACAAGGAATTCAGAGCAACGAGCTTCAGGGCAGCTCTGATGTGTGAAATCACTCTTGCCTCTTCCTTCAGTTGCATGTAAAGGACTAAAATGAGCACGCTGGAGGGAGAAGAGGAAGATCCAGGAAAGAGGCACTGGAACTTCAGAAAAAATAATGTCACAGGATTATCCCTGCTAAAGTCCACAGATCTACACAAGTATTACTCAGAACAGGATGTGCCCAAGTTCACTGGATATATAAGCAACAACAAGAAGTTTTCTTCCCCAGGATTAACTGAAGAGCACAATTTTCTCTCCTGTTTTCACTATGACTGTACACAAGCAAACCCTCCTGCAGATATTACTTATGTTTTAAATGTTATTGCTAATCTGCAGTGCAGTGTGCTTCCCTAGCAGAGTCATTAAAACGTGCACGGGTCAGGATGCTGAGACTGCACTCATGGTTCTTTATAGTTACAGTATTAGTAAAGTATTTACTAAATTGACTACCACCTACTTTAAGTTAAACTTGCTGACAGATAAACTGAGCATAACCTCTGGCATTTTCAGACGTTTTCTTATGAATAGATATATTTTGCACGTTTTTGCATGCTAGGCCCTTTCCAAAATGCTGATTTGATCTCTGACATCAAGGCTTACTCACCCCCTTGAAGGTACAAAAGAAAGGTAACAGTAGCTTGCATGTGGGGGAATGAGACTTTAATATATAGAAAGCACAAAACTTACTCTTTTCAGTTTATTTTAGATTCAAAAGCTATAAAAGAGCACTAAAAATTCAGTACTATTTCTGCATTGGTTAAAAAATGCAGCTGAAGAGAGATTTAAAAAAGGGGAGATATAAAAAGAATATTATTTGCATAGTCATAAATCATTATAAAACAATTATTCTGCAGCAAAAAAGCACTCGTTTCACAAGGGCAATCCAGCTTCAAGAGAGTGCGCTATCTGTTAGCATCCTATTCTCAAAACAGACATCTCTGGACAGATTTGTTACAGTTTTGTAGATGCTAATGTGTAAACAGATTGTAAAATTATTTTTGGGCCTGTAATAGGATTTAATGTGTTTAAGAGGTAGTCTTATACCTCTTTAACAAAGAGGCTTACAATATGGTAAGAATGTATCACAAAAAATATAATGCTTTTAAACAGATAAATCCTCTTGGCAAAGGCTGTAATCTTTCAAACTTAATTGGTGAACTCATTAACGAACAACTGCCACTACAAGAAGAAAGACTATTGTCAGCGACTTATCGGGCAATGAGATAACAAACTTAATTATATTGTTTTCAGTGGATTTACATTTGCTTCCTTTAGGACACTAGATTTTCTAAACATTATTTCCTTGGCTGTATACGATTTTTTTATCCCCTAAGAGAAAAGCAAACCTATCTACAACGAATAGGCAAAGAAAAAAAAAAAACCCAAAACCAGAATACATCACAGCTTTGAAGTAAACACAACACAGTCCTAAAAATTCTGTCTTTATTATCTACTTGTAAAAAGTTATAAGCCTGTAAAGTAGTTAATTTATGAGCCATGTTAATCATTTGTTCCCATTTGATCTGAGGTTTAGCAAACACGGTTTCCTGGGATGTAGGAGGATAATTTGCAGGTCCAGCTTGGCTCCGGAGGGGGCACTAACTAATTTGACACCGTAACATGACATTGATGGCAGACACACACTAATGACTGCACTGCTCGATGCTCCTGTCAGTCTGTCGCTGCACTGAATGGAGAGTTTCTTCTTATTGCCAAAAAAAAGTGCAGAGTGGTCCTACTAATTATTCAGACATGCACTATAATGAGAATCTTAGTGCTCCCTCCCAACATACGAACCTCTCACTAAAGCTCCCATTTGTCTGATACGGTGGCTGATTAGAATTTGTTTCTTGAATAGTAAAACCACGGCTTAAAGTAAAGCGGAAAGGATAAACAGCCTTTTATTCTGCATAAAACTCAGAAAGTGGCCATTTTGATTTCAAGCTGGTTTTTCTGTCATTTATTTACACCAGAAGAATAGAAAATTGGATTAATTTTTAATAGTACTTCTCAAACAACATATAGATCTTCACAGAGTTTTACTGTCTTGATCACTTAGGACATAAATTTTGTTGACAAAGGGAGGCTCTGAAGGTATTTTCTTTCTCCTAGGAGAAAGGAATTTTCTAGAACAGAAACTGGTACTAGACAAATCACAAGTTAAGAATAAAAGTGTCTCTTTTTCATAGATTATATTGTTAGAACTTATTCCTCACTGTGAACTCTGAAAGTTCATAAGAGCTTTATGTATCTCTGAATGATCTGGATTAAAAACATAAAGAGTAAGAAAACCTGAATGGTGATGTCCAGAATCAACCTTTATTCCCCGCTTTGGATCCTGATCTAGCACAGCTATGCAGTGTATTTGGACTGCCTATCTTTACCATATTTACAGTTCTATATTTTTCTAATGCCTCTGCAGCAGTGCAGAATTGCAATCCTGGAAGAGGCCAATGGACTGACCAGCATGTGACATATGTTTAACACAGACTGACGATACGTTACCACCCTGAAAAAGAGCCTGAATTTCTAAGGATAACACTTAGCTCTTTCTGAAAAGCAAACCCTTCTAAGAGCGTTTCAAGTGGGCCACCAAAAGCCTAGTACACGCTACTGAGTCATTTAGAAAAACGTTATAAACTCGAAAGTGTTAGACACAAAGGTGAGGGAGATGCGCTCCACCAGCACCCCAGGACAGTTTGAAAGCCATTACCAGCTAATGGCTCTCTAGTGGTCTCCAGGAATTCAATCAGTGGTCTCCCTTCACATGCTGTATCTGGAAAAGCCACAACTCTATTAGGGACATATTAAGCAATTTGTGGTCGAGGGGGTCCCTAGCCCCAGCCTGGGGTCTACAACCCCCACCTCTGCCCTTCTGGCTGCTCACTGCTGACTTGCACTGAGATCTGTATTTAGGAGGGGTTTTATTTGCATGCAGCCTGATACCTACAGTTCTCTCATTATGGTTCATCACCCCTTTTTGACAGGGTAGGAATAGCAAAGGAGCTACTGTGCAGCATCAGAGCTCAGAGCCAAGTGCCTGGCTGTCCCATGTGCTCGGCAGCAGGGTCCCTTTGCAGAGCACCACAGATCCTCCAGCAGCACGTGTCATCTTTACAAACCATGACGCAGCAGAGCACTGCGCACTTCACCAGTGGCCCCAAATACTCCAAAAATTAACATCTGAATAACTTCTACCAACGGCAGCACTGGAAATCTATTGGAGCGGCACAACTTCCGAGATGAAAGCAAAAGTACATGTTTGGAGAGCCAAGGCAATGTAACGTAAATACTGGGTACGCGCTGTTACATGTCATTTTGCAGAGCAACATGCGAAGGGCACATGAATCATCAGTGAGAGAACAACCCTGGCACCTACCCCAGAAATACCTCAGTCAGCACTCAGCAGGAAAGAAAAGATCAGAAAAAGAAATCCCAGAATCCTAAACGGAGCTTCAGCTCCTGCAGAAAGATACACTTAACAGTGTTCATCTCTTTGGAAAATAGAGGTACTGTATCCAAGATACAGCACCGCTAACATTTTCCACATGGCTAGGGATGGATTGGTGAGTGGCCTTCTCATAAACAACAGCATCTCTACGTGTCAGCTGTCGGAAAAATAAGGACATGATGCATTTTTGCTCTCTGTTCTCATAAACCCCCAATATTAATTCAGACAGGGGAGAAGAAAGTCATCAAGTTTATTTCAAACCAGATTATGCCACATTCAGCCACGCTGTGTGTGGACACACCACAGTAGCCTCCTCGCCCAGCATGCCAGAGTGTGAAGAACAATCCTTTTATATCCACAGCATGACTTGGCCAACTTTAAAACGCAACAACTAAAAACTCCAACGTCCTTCTGTCAGTTTAACTGCTAATTTGCAATGGATTTGGTTACACTTCCCGTTTAAGGCAAGTTCTCCTCGAGTGCTGGCTAAGAAATCTTGGGCAAGAGGATGTAGCAACCACCAAAGGATTAAAAAAAAAATAAAAATTTAAAAAAAAAAAAAAATCTTACCCACAGCTTTAGAGAAGGAGGCAGGAGCTCTCCTGGTGGCCCCTGGCTCTGCACTGAAGGGTGGCAGCAGCCCTGCAATCTCAGGGTGTCCTGCTGCAGAGGGCTGGGGTTCACCCAAGGCTAGACAGAAGCTGTGGTGAGGGTAGCAGGCCAGCCTGGGCAGCAAGGAGCAAGAGCGAGACAGTTCCCTCCTTTCCCTGCCATCTTCTGCCTCTGAGAATGACTCAGGAGTTGGTGAGGCACAAAGGATGCCATTCTCCATGAGAGCATGAAGAGAGGAGGTCTCAAAAAAGACAAAGGGAGAAGGATATAAAGTTTTAGAAGTTTCTGCAAAGCAATCTGCTAACTGAGCTTTATGAAACACATGGGAACAGACTTAGAACTTACTCAGGTCTTTAAAACTGGTGAAGTTGTGTGGCTTGTTAAAAGCAATGTCAGGACCATAATTAATCAGGATACAAGTACACTTGTGGTTTGGGAAGAGTCCTCTCAACTCAGTCCCCCACTAGCTCACCCCTTTGTGTCCCCACTCACTCACAACTGCACTTCAAAGCAGTCTTTTCCCTCACCTCACTTTGCTGCTGCAGCAAGACAAGGATCTGCATCACTCAGCTCCTGGTCCCTGTGGCTACCACTGTGCAAAGTGCTGTCTGCACATTAAAGCACTAAACTAGTGTAACATATCTATTGCAGACCTTTATCAGAAATGCCATTTAGGTAGATATCAGATATGAAAGAATAACCAAAACTTATTACTTTTCTTCCTGTGTGTACTGCAGTTAGTCACACAGAAGAAGTGCTCCTTTCAGCATGGCCTAAGCTGGACACAAATCTGCTCATAGATCCACTCAAAAGATCAGTTTTAGGCTAGGAATAAACCACCAGGTAAAATAAAATCAGGAACGGCTTCACTGCACTGATCCAAACAACCAGCAATCATTCCCAGCCTTCTGCTCATGTTTCCAGGCCCTGACTGCAGGCTCACGGCCTGAGGAAGGACACAAGGTACAACTGCAAGGTGGCAGCAGGTGAAAGAGCAGGAAGGCTTGCTTTTAGCTGAACAAGCAAGCCAGAAAGAAGGGAACTGGAGCTCACTGCTCCTGTGAAATCCAGCAGAGATATCATGGAGAAACAGAACTAAAGCATGTGAAGTGTGTAAGAGGGAGAGGCAGCGGCAAAAGCAGCAGCCCAGAGGGATGGCCTGCAGCAATAGAGCTCCAAGGCGTTACCAAGCGAACCCTCTGGCCTTGCATGCCCAGAGACATCTGACACAGCCAGAGCAACCTGACAGCCCTGGGCAGACACGGAGGATGCCTGGGAGGCTGGTGGCAAACACTGACACTGAGCACAGGACAGGGAGTGGGGTGGGCAGGGGTAAGCCCTGACACGTGTGCTGGGCCCACACAGCTGCCAGGCACCGCCATGGCGGGGACGGCCCAGGGCGATTCCAGCCCCGAGCAACGGGTTCTGGCGTTGCTAACAACCCAAGCGATGGGTTCCATGGGCACCAAGGATGGAACCGAGGCGTCTCCAAGCGACAATTGTGGTGTCACCTGCCCTGACCGCTCGTACCTGGGCACGGAATCTGAGCCAGCCAGCCTGCGCAAGGACTCCAGCCGAGCAGGACGCGAGGTGTGGAGTGCCAGGCCTTGGAGCTGGCAGTGAGCTGAGAGTTGGTCACAGCACTCAGTCATTCACTCCAGAGCCATCAAAGGACATTCCCCGGCCATGCCAGGTTCAGGCAGCCGGGGCTTGAGGAAGGTGCGCTCACAGCAGCCGAGGTGAGCTGGACAGGGACATGCCACCCTGGGGAGCTGGGAGGGTTTCCTTCCTGAGACCTGAGTATCCCTTCCTCCCCTCCCTGGGCCCATCAGTGACTGTTGTGTCTCTTGCCCTTCCCCAGCATGGAAGGCACTGCTGCAGAAGCAGCAAGGGGGAGTAGCTCACCATCCCAAGTTCCCCCCAGCCCACTGCAACACAGGGGCAGCACAGACACAGAGGTGAAGGACCGCTGTCCCATCTGTCTGGACAGCTGGAGTGAGCCCAGCTTTGTGATGCCATGCCTGCACTGCTTCTGCTATGCCTGCATCCTGCGGTGGGCCAACAACAAAACCCGGTGCCCCCTGTGCAAGCGGAAGATGACCACCATCCTGCACTCAGTGCGGGCAGATGATGATTTTGAGGAGCATGCCATCATTCCACCCATGATAACACCAGTAGTCATCCCAGCAATAAGAGCTCACAGAGAGCCAGATGCTCCCAACCTCCATCACCTTGGAGCACATCAACAGTGGGAGACAGCGGGAGACGTCCAGCATTTCGTAGGCGGCTTCCCGCTCCCAAACTGGATGAGCTGTTTCTCTGCCAACTCAGCAATACAGCAGACCCTGTACTCATGGTTCTGTCAGAGCTTGGAGATGCTGTTTGAAACATCAACATCCAGAGCCCAGCACAGACATGTCCCTGAGCCGCAGCATTGCGGGGAGGATCACCACCTGCCACCACACACCCAGGGTGCCACAGGGCAAGAGGACAGCTCATCATCTCTTACCCCAGGTCCAGCAAGATCCAGTGGGGATGAGATGCCTAGCACCTCATCTAGTGCCAATGGTTGGGGTCCAAAGACACAGCCCTCTGCTTCCACCACCATCCATGTGGAACAAGAGCCCCAGGAGGAACCAGAGAAGCTTTGCCCAGGCACTCCTAATTCCATAAAGGGCAGTGATCCTTCAACTGGGGGACCACAGCGACCACTAAAAAGGAGGGCCAGCAGCCCCAAAGGCTCTCCAGCTCGCAAGAGGCCACGTCACTGAGACTGGAGGGTGCCTCCATAAATCAGTTTCACTTGCTGCCAAGGAGTCATTATTGAAATCGCAGAATATGCTGATCCATCACAGTCATTGAGCCCAACTCCTGGCCCTGCAGAGGAGACCGAAGAAACCCACCATGTACCTGACAGAATTGTTAAAATGCTTCCTAACTCAGACAGGCTCAATGCTATGACTTGTTCCAGTGATCAACCACCCTCTGGGTGAAAACAGTTTTTCCTGCTATCCAACCTAAACCTCCCCAACAGCTTCACATAATTTCCTTGAGTTCTGCTACTGGTCCTTTGCTTCTCCTCATAAGAATGCTGAAGATTATAACAAAGTCTCACCTCAGTCTCCTTGAGGCTGAATAATAGTTAATATATAGTTATGTATAGGTAAGATAGTTTGATAGATAGATACATAGTAACATAGATAGATAGGTACATAGTAACATATTCACACAGTTTTCAAAATAAATGAATTTTTCTTCCAAAACTTTGTAATTGGAGTGTTTTCTATGCATTTGTAATGCATATAGAAGTACAAACAGCAGCATTTGCCACCTCTTTTTACCCATTTTTCACCACTGGACAAAAGACACCAAGCATATTTAAACAAATACACAAAATATAAATATGCAAAAAGGCCTCCCCTCCCTGACAGAACTCCTTTGCTGTTTATTTTTTCCAGAGTTATGTAGTGCACCAAGCAGCCTCTGCCAAAACCCCTGAGGACACTAAATACATCGCCAAAAGGGCAAAATAAGGAGGATCTAAAGCAATAGTACTTATCTACAAAGCAACCTAACTGAACTTTATGGGTTGGTCTCTACTCACAACTGCACTTCAAAGCAGCCTTTCCCCCCACATCCCTTTTCAGCTATGGTAAGACAAGACAAAGACCTGCATCACTCAGCTCCTGGTCCCTTGTGGGTACCACTGTGGCACGTGCTCCCTGCACATTAAAGCACTAACTAGTTTCACACATTTGTTGCAGAGTTTCACCAGAAATGCCATTTAGGTATCTATCAGAGAGGAAAGAATAAACAAAACTTATTTTCTTCCTCTGTGTGCTATGGTTGGTCACAGGGGAGAAGTGCTCCTTCCAGCACAGCCTAGACTGGGCAGAAATCTGTTCATGGATTCACTCAAAAGACCTGCTTCAGGCTAGGAACAAAAAACCAGATAAAATCAGAGGATTTTATTTAAAATCTAAGAAGGGACATGCATGGTGTTGGGGGACACAGAGCAGCTGCTGCCATACCCCAAAGCCAAGGCTGGTTGAGGTTAGTGAGGCTCCTGCCTTCACATACATCAGTGGGTTATTTTAGAAGAGAAAGAGACAGGTTTGTGGTGATGTTGCCCTTGGGCTTCTGGGATTTTGTTTGTTTGTTTTTTTTTTTAATAATTTAGCAAGTTATGCCTCCATATAACATGTGAAGGTGATTTGATGTGGTAATTACCTATTACATTTGACAAGGTAATTAATGTAGCAAAATACCACTGTACAATGTAGAAATGTAGTTAACTATCATTAAAATGTGTCTGCTTAGCAAAGCTGTTCTGTTCATAAAAAGAAGGGGTGGAAAACTCTCAACAGAACATATTCTGTTATCTGAAGAGTATAGAGACCTTCATCTTCAGCTATGTTCCTGCTCAAATAGCAGGAAACAGCAAGACCAGAGAACTCTAAAAACTAATAAAATGGGAAGCATCTTCCAGGAGCAGTAGAGAACTACACAGATATCTTTAACAGCTCAGCTAGAAGTGCCTCAGACTTTGATGTCAACATCTGCTTACAGCTCAAGAATAAAATATCCTTGAAAACTGATTTCTTTTCAAAAATTCCCCTCCAACGTGTCAGGTATATCAACCTGCAATGAAAGGTTGCATTGCTCTTGGAAAATGAAAACCTACAGCATCACTGAGATGCTCAGAAATTTTCAATCATTTTCAATGCTCTGATGACTTTGTCTCTACATGAAGCCATCTGAGCATGCAATGACGTACAGGAGAAGTCAAAGATGCATTTACAAAGCTAAAGACAACCTAACAGGAACAAAGTAAATATCGTAAATATTATTAGCATTAAATAGCAAAAAATAGTCCCAAGTACAGAATATATTCAGATCATGTACTTGGGTCTACAGAAAATAAAAATACATTCTTGACTGAAATGCCCAAAACCAAACAAAAAACCTTCACTGGTTACACCCAAACCTTCCCTAAGTTATCAAGCAGCAGGATTAGCACCTGCTTCCAGCCTGGATTTCTAATACTGCTGTTTTCACATTCAAATGTCTTAAATAGTTTATGGTTTAAAATAATCTCGAAGACAATGTACATCTGTTTGCACAGACAGACTAACAAAGAATGAGAAAACAACACAAGCACCCACATATCAAACACAAGTGATTTAGAAGCAAAGGTATCCAATCTGTGATGCCATATTTAAGAGTTTCCTATCCTTATTTTAGGGACAGTATCCTTAGTAACCTTTTAAGAAGAAAAAATATACTCTCTTCTGAAATCATCTTCATTGCCAAAGGAACCCTTGCAAACACAGCAGGGATCTGCTGGCTGAAAGTATTTTTAAGTAGCTCTGCCTCTGCACTAGAGGTATTTCCATGGCAGTAACCACTACATACACCAGGAAAACTCTTCAATCCTCCCAAACAAAAATGAAGGCTTTCATGATGACTACCAAGGAGTACCCAAGCTAATCAAATCTCCTCCCACCCTTAATTCACAGTAATTTAGAAAACTACTTTCAGAGGAGGAAGGTCCCCAAAGAAACCCTTAGGAGAACATTAATTACACAGATGCAACCCACTTCATCTCGTTCCTCTGCTACAGGGGACAAGGCTCACATTGGGACATACATGGTCCTGAGAGACTGGGTTAAAAATAATCTGCAAGGATGTTTTTCTAGCAGTTTCCTTACCCATTTCACAAGAGAATACTTGTTTAGGGTATACTTGAATGGCTCGTGACCCAGCTCCGGGGTGCACCTTGTGACAACAGACAGACCTCCATGCCCAGCAAAACAATGGATGTCACCAGGGGTTTCATTAAGGCAACTGAGCCACATTCAGGGTAACCCCTCTTGCCCTCGTGCACCTTCCCCAGCCTCCCCACATCCAGGATGCCAGCGAGACAACTGCCAAGAGAAACATGATCCTGGCTCCTTTCACACCCAAGCACGAAGTAGCAGATGGGAGAAAAACCTCCCCTTTCTACAGGTTCTTCTATTACTAATAGTTCTGATTTTATTACGTGGAGGTGAGAAACAAAACCAGACATTTGACTGCACTGAGGGGGAAAAAAAAAGAATAAGAAAATAAAAGGAGTGCCCTCTGTGGGGGACACACATTTGAATGATTCAACAGGCTACAAAGTCTTGAACAGAGCAACTGCCAACCTCTTATTTGGAGAGGGAAAGCCATCCAGGTGCAGTAGCACTGGAGACAGGAGCACAACTAAGGGCTGAGATCGGATGAGTTGAAAGACCCTTCCCAGCTGGTATTTCTCTTGTGAGAGAAAAAAAAACACCCAATAACTGCAGAACACCTGTAAAATCACCATGCTGGGGAACCTGAGCTCCCCACAACTGCCCAACAAAAACATACTGGTCACTTGGAGTAATCTGAAGTCCAGGTTGCTGGAGATAATGTCAGTATCTCTGGTCCAGACCCATTTGCACTGGTGATGCAAAAGGCTCGAGAATCGTAAGTTCATTGGACAGTGGGTGCTTGAAGGTGAAAGTTGGAAAAGCATCTGTCTTATCAACATTTAGAAAAAATTAAACCATATTCACTTAATAGAATAAGGAAGAAAATAATACTTTAGGGTGGCTGCAACTTTATCTAGGAGTTCCTATGCACTCACAAAAATGTATAAATTAACACTATTTTCTCATTATTGAAATACTGAACTCTTAATTCTCTTTCTCACAAACCCTATTTTGTATACACAAGGAAGCAGTGCTACCATTTGCACTCTCTCCTCTTCTTACATGTTTTTACCCATTGCTTTAGACAAAAAAAAACCCACCCTGAAAATGCCACCACACTTGAATCTATCACCAACACTTTAAGGGTCACATAGGACAATCCCAGAAAGCCACTGAGAAGTTCACAGAGCTCCACAACACTTCATATTTTACAGAAAGAGCCTCTCGTATATTGAACGGAGATGAAAACAAAAGTCATTCCTTACATTTTTTTCATAAGGGTAAAAATGCTTCACACATATAATTAAGTTACACATGGAGAGATGTTTTTCTTCAGTACTTTAATTATTCATCAGGTATAGCATTGTTTTACTGTGTGAAATGTTTGATATACAGAAAAGCTTATTCTTTCAGAAGTATAATTTCAGCCTCTGTTCAATTATATTCTTCCTAGCAGTAGCTAAAGAGAGCCTTACAAATGTTGTTTTCAGGCAGTGAGAAAATTCAGACTTGCACCTCTCCCCTTTGCTCCCCTCCTGAGCCTTAACTATGTTGTTTTCTCACAATTAATTATTTAGGTGGTTCCAGTAACAATATATGATTACTGCTGTACAGTCTCACAGACATGAGTTGAGCAGCGATACAATTTATCGCTGTTTGTTTCATCTAGGACTTGTACTGTGTGAGAAAAGAAATTTTCCTTCAACTCAAAACTTGCTTAAACTTCGCAATTCAGCATTTCAGAGTTATTTTTTTTCAGGACGTAACCAGCAATAAAAGATTGCTATAAATATGTTCTCCCCATATTTGTGAACTGCATAAATACACTTTAATGGTGGTAATTGAAATTTGAATAGGATGCCAACACCTGAGGCAGACTGACGCGACATTTAATTTATACAATTAAATATGAGGGTGGGGAAACACTAAACAAACAATGTTTGTTACTTGTATGTTTCACATGAGACCTGTTTTCTCAGTTTATCTGTCCTGGGTTGGTTGGGTTTGGCAGGGTAATATCTCATGGAGAAGAGAATTAGTCCCTGGCAGGTCTGGCACAAGGGGAACAGAGAGATGCTTGCCATGAGCAGGAACCCACCCACTCAGGCACAGGGACCTCAGGAGAGGGAATCATCCCTTCATGGATTCACAGCTCAAACCCAGCAGCAAAAAGTCATTTTACACTGTGCAAGTTTGACCACCAGCTAACCAAGTGCAAGGTGGTACTTCAATTCCCTCCATCCAACGGGCCCCAGGTCAGACCCTATACAAGTCCTGTTCATAAAGACTCAAAAAGTGCATTCCTGCCTACATACATCATGGAATTAAATGTGGAAGAAGCCAGATATGTAACACATAAAATATAACTGAACTGGGGAAGCAATTGCAGCATTTTTTAAGTACTTTGTTCTACTGCAACACACACCAGCACAGAACAAAGTCAGCTCCAACTTTTCTGGCAGAGGGGGCAGAGAGGGAGATGTTACAGCCCAACATGCTAAAGCTG